ATCAGGAATAAAATACGTTCGCATTATCGGAGAGTGCAAGAAACTCTATTCCGTCCAGTTAACATTTACATCCAAGCTTCAAAATCAGGAAAACTCACGTCTGAACATTTCAAAACTTGGTTCAGCGAAGTGTATGTACCAAATACTGGCCGTAAAAGCATGCTACTACTCGACTCGTGGACGGGACACTGCCCGAGCCAGCTAGAGCAGTTGATTCCACAAGACAAAGAAGTAAAATTTTCAACCATTCCAAAAAAGACAACGGCCTTCATTCAGCCTTTAGATGTGTTTGGATTCCGGATTTGGAAAAATTTCGTGCGAACATTTTCGGATAATGTAATTCTCCAAAAGAAACATGTCAAGTTGCACTCACGTAATGAAATAATTAAATTGCAATCACTAACTCATAATCAGCTTTCTTCGCCCAGATTCAAAAATCTTTTCCAATATGCTTGGTTTAAAAGCGGATATCTAGAAACGCATCCCGGTGAATTTCAAAATCCTGTAGATTTCTGTTACTTCAGGAAAGAAAAGCATATACCTAAATGTAGTATTTGTGGGCTGGCCGCTTTTATGCGCTGTGCATGGTGTGGCGAGTATTTCTGTTTTAAACATTTCTATGAAGAATATCATTACTGTACCAATTATATTGCGTAATGTTTAGTGTATCTGCCGTTTTGTACTAGTACAACTCTTCCAATATATAATTAAACAACAAAGCATGTACAAAAAGCGAATGCAAATGTTTTATGTATCAGGATTAATCAGAATTAATTAAATTAATTCATTTATTCATTCAAAATAGATACGAACCGTCTTGCTTTAATAAATAAAAGATGCTTGAAATTCATATAAATTATGATTTAAATATTGTACAATTATTATGTCGTTACAGATTATCTTACAAATATGTACTAATGATCAGGAATAAAATACGTTCGCATTATCAGAACATTCGATAAGGTTATGGTCAATATGTGACTCTGCGTCCTTTAATGTTAAGATAGAGCTTCATGCA